CAGTAAGCATTATGGATAGGGTTGTGAAACATTGTGGAAGTAATAATATATTAATAGTATCAGCTGTTCTGCTACAACATATTCCTGTCCAAGCATCTTGAAATACAGGCAAAAACATGTAAGCACACATGTACAAAAGTACATATAGCAGATGTATTATGCTGGAGTACTGACTGTAGAGTTATCAACCTTTTTTAAGTGCTCCAAACAACTAAAACTAAATGAATTATGACAAATTACACCTCATGAAGAAAGGAAAGGAAAAAAAAGTCCTCTGTTTTACTGTTATGTTCCCGGTTGGTCGAAAGCAGGCAGGGAGTAATTTTATCCATATGAAATTTATTATAAAAGCAGGGACAAGCATACATGCAGCATTCATCTTGTAACCCTCTGCAGAACTTCGCCTGAGCTCTACACTACACCTCTATATACAATAACAGTACTCTGGTGCCACCTAGTGTTCAGTTCAGTACACAACATTTACTGTGTCCCATGTCACTTCATAAATTCACATCCCAATAAATAAGACTAACCAATATAGTTTACCTTTATAATGAGACCAAAGTAATCGCATAAACTTTGTGGTTACAGAAATAAACTCATTAATGTTTGGGTATGTCATCTGTGCCTCACTGACATAATTTTTATTTAAAAGAAATTACTTGGGTGCAAATTGTACAAAATACACAGCTTTTACAAATCGATATGATATTGCCACAATTTATTGCCATATTGATATTTTCTGGTGCTTGTTTGGAACAGCATGTGATAGCAAAATCAAAAGGAAGCAAAGCTACGTCTCTAAAGCACTTTTGTGTGCTTGTTTTGTAGACCACTAGTTTTAATCTACTGGGTTGATCTCCCAGTTCTCAAGGGATTATAAAATGTCTGCAAACCTCAAAATATTTGAGGCAATCAACAACTCAACATGCATTTGGCGTTAGAATGCAAGAATGTGAAAACACACAAGCGAATGGATAAAAAGGAGTGAAATATGAAGAGAAATAAGGGGATCGGAGCGGTGCCCATTTCGGGGGTGTAAAATATGGAGAAGTGTGGATCATTGGGGGAGCTGCTCTGCCTGGGGGAACAGATGAAGGGAGGACACTCTGCCAAGATCTCTCCACTGAAGGGGGAACTGAGGGACTGGAGCACTATGGGAGGAAAAGTGTGCACCTCGCATGCTGCTCTCCTCAATCTCAGTCTCACACGCTTGCATTGACACGTCCCAGGCTCTTCTGCAGCAGAGGGAAATTGCTGCTGACAGGGCCTTGCAAACTTTCACAGCCATTTAGAAAGACTTACTCCCACACTTTTGTCACAGGCATTTATTGCACAAGATACATGATATGAAAAATTAACATTTTCAAACTTGGCATCGTTTTTTGTAGCCAAGTTAGGCTTAAAAACCATTCATAATTTTTCAGCTTTACGATCGGCCTTAGTGCAGATGTAAACACGAGACATGCCAACTGGGGCCACGAGATTATGAAAATGCACTTTTTAAAAGCTCCTCCTTGAACCGTCACCTTATCGTGGTGGAGGAGTTTGAGTGCCCTAATGATCCTAGGAGCTATGTTGTCTGGGGCACTTAGTGCCCCTGGTAGGGTCTCCCATGACAAATTGGTCTTAGGTGAAGGGTGAGACAAAGAACGGTTCGAAGGATCTTTCATGGCGGTGAAAACGAAGAGTCGGAGTACCCGGCCCGGAGGGTTACCGGGGTCCCACCCTGGAGCCAGGCCTGGGGTTGGGGCCCGTGAGCGAGCGCCTGGTGGCCGGGCTTTCGCCCATGGGGCCCGGCCGGGCCCAGCCCGAACCGGATACATGGGCTCGTCCAACTGTGGACCCACCACCCGCAGGAGGAACATGAAGGGTCCGGTGCAATGTGAATCGGGTGGCAGACCAAGGCGGGAGCCTTGGCGGTCCAATCCCCGGACAAGAAAACTAGTTTTTGGGACATGGAACGTCACCTCGCTGGCGGGGAAGGAGCCGGAGCTTGTGGCAGAGGTTGAGCGGTACCGGCTAGATATAGTCGGATTCACCTCGACACATTGCATTGGCTCTGGAACCCGAGACCTGGAGAGGGGTTGGACACTCTACTTTGCTGGAGTTGCTCCGGGTGAGAGGCGGAGGGCTGGGGTTGGCTTTTTGTTAGCCCCGAGACTCTCTGCCTGTGTGTTGGGGTTTACCCCGGGGGACAAGAGGGTAGCTTCCTTGCGCCTTCGGGTCGGGGAACGGGTCCTGACTGTTGTTTGTGCTTATGGGCCAAATATCAGTTCAGAGTACCCACCTTTTTTGGAGTCCCTGGGACGAGTGCTAAATAGTGCTCCATCAGGGGACTCCATTGTCCTGCTGGGGGACTTCAATGCTCACGTGGGCAATGACAGCTTGACCTGGAGGGGTGTGATTGGGAGGAACGGCCCACCTGATCAGAACTCGAGCGGTGTTTTGTTATTGGACTTCTGTGCAAGCCGCAGTTTGGCCATAACGAACACCATGTTCGAACATAAGGATGCCCACCGGTACACTTGGTACCAGGGCAGCCTAGGTCACAGGTCGATGATAGATTTTGTAGTCGTATCATCTGACCTGCGGCCGTATGTTTTGGACACCCGAGTGAAGAGAGGGGCGGAGCTGTCAACTGATCACCACCTGGTGGTGAGTTGGATCAGATGGCAAGGGAACATGCCGCGTAGACCTGGCAGACCCAAACGCATAGTGAGGGTCTGCTGGGAACGCCTGGCAGAAGAACCTGTCAAGACGGTCTTCAACTCCCACCTCCGGCAGAGCTTTGACCACGTCCCGAGAGCAGTGGGGGACATTGAGTCCGAGTGGGCCTTGTTCCACTCTGCGATTGTCGAGGCGGCTGTTGCTAGCTGTGGTCGTAAGGTGGCTGGTGCCAGTCGTGGTGGCAACCCCCGTACCCGCTGGTGGACACCAGAGGTTCGGGGAGCCGTCAGGCTGAAGAAGGAGGCCTACAGGGCGTGGCTGGTCTGTGGGTCTCCGGAGGCAGCAGACAGGTACCGGATAGCCAAGCGGGGTGCAGCAGTGGCAGTTGCCGAGGCAAAATCTCGGGCGTGGGAGGAGTTTGGTGAGGCCATGGAGAAAGACTATCGATCGGCTCCAAAGAGGTTCTGGCAAACTGTCCGGCGCCTCAGGAGAGGAAGGCAGCAACTCGCTCACACTGTTTACAGTGGGGATGGGGAGCTGCTGACGTCAACTGAGGCTATAGTCGGACGGTGGAAGGAATACTTTGAGGAGCTCCTCAATCCCACCAATGCGCATTCCGAGGAGGAACCAGAGCTGGGAGGCCTGGGGATGGACTGTCCGATCTCGGGGGCAGAAGTTGCTGAGGTAGTCAAACAACTACACAGCGGCGGAGCCCCGGGGGCGGATGAGGTTCGTCCTGGGTATCTCAAGGCTATGGATGTTGTAGGGCTGTCATGGTTGACACGTCTCTACAACATTGCGTGGTCATCGGGGGCAGTTCCTAGGGAGTGGCAGACCGGGGTGGTGGTCCCCATCTTTAAGAAGGGTGACCTGAGGGTGTGTTCCAACTATAGGGGGATCACACTCCTCAGCCTCCCTGGAAAGGTCTACGCCAAGGTACTGGAGAGGAGGGTCCGATCGATAGTTGAATCTCAGATAGAGGAGGAGCAATGTGGTTTTCGTCCTGGCCGTGGAACTGTGGACCAGCTCTATACCCTTGCAAGGGTGATGGAGGGGGCATGGGAGTTTGCCCAACCAATCCACATGTGCTTTGTGGATTTGGAGAAGGCTTATGACCGTGTCCCCAGGGGCACCCTGTGGGGGACGCTCCAGGAGTATGGGGTGGGTGGCTTTCTGTTAAGGGCCATTCAGTCCCTTTACCAGAGGAGCGTGAGTTTGGTCCGCATAGCCGGTAGTAAGTCGGACCTGTTCCCAGTGAGGGTTGGACTCCGCCAGGGCTGCCCTTTGTCACCGGTTCTGTTCATCACTTTTATGGACAGAATTTCTAGACGCAGCCGTGGTGTGGAGTGTGTCGAGTTTGGTGGCAGGAGAATCTCGTCTCTGCTTTTTGCGGATGATGTGGTCCTCCTAGCTTCATCCAGCTCTGACCTTCAGCTCTTGCTGGGTAGGTTCGCGGCCGAATGTGAAGCGGCTGGGATGAGGATCAGCACCTCCAAATCTGAGACCATGGTTCTCGACCGGAAAAGGGTGGCTTGCCACCTCCGGGTCGGGGGAGAGGTCCTACCTCAAGTGGAGGAGTTTAAGTATCTCGGGGTCTTGTTCACGAGTGAGGGTAGGAGGGATCGGGAGATCGACAGGCGGATTGGTTCGGCGTCTGCAGTGATGCGGACGCTGAGCCGATCTGTCGTGGGGAAGAGGGAGCTGAGCCAGAAAGCCAGGCTCTCGATTTACCGGTCGATCTACGTCCCAATCCTCACCTATGGTCATGAGCTTTGGGTAATGACCGAAAGAACGAGATCGCGGATACAAGCGGCCGAAATGAGTTTCCTCCGTAGGGTGGCCGGGCTCAGCCTTAGAGATAGGGTGAGGAGCTCGGACATTCGGGAGGGACTCGGAGTAGAACCGCTGCTCCTCCGGATCGAAAGGAGCCAGTTGAGGTGGTTTGGGCATCTGGTCAGGATGCCTCCTGGACGCCTCCCCGGGGAGGTGTTTCGGGCATGTCCTGCCGGCAGAAGGCCCCCGGGTCGACCCAGGACACGTTGGAGAAGTTACATCTCCAATCTGGTCCGGGAACGCCTTGGGGTCCTGCCGGAGGAGCTGGTGGACAAGGCCGGGGAGAGGACGGCCTGGAGCTCCCTAGTTGGGATGCTGCCCCCGCGACCCGGACCCGGATAAGCGGAGGAAGACGACGACGACGACCACTTTTTAAAAGCAACCCAACACCAGTTTATGAATTTCTACCATACTGTATGACTTTCTAATCCAATAAAAAGCACAGCTGTCCATATGACCAGTATCAAACGAAATATGAGCAGAAGTTGGGACTGTACCTTTACATTCACAACCAGCCAGTGCCTCCAGTAACCAGAGCTTTTGGTGCGACTGGGAGCATCAGGATCAACCATCACCAGGATGTATTTCTTTTCCTGTATGAAAATATGAATATAACATTCAGCACAGACCCAAAGGCAGTTCCACTTTCAGCACAACTTCATCGTTTTTTGCATTTTAAGATGTGTTGTTTGTATTACGTTTTTTATAAACATCTCTGCTTAAATACTTAAACTTTACTCTTTGCTCTTACTTTTTAGCTTTAAAGCTCTCAGCCACTTTTTGTTGTTGTTTTTTTAGTACACTTGCTCTAGTCTCGGATATAAATAAATGCCTTTTGAGTTTTTTACGCTGAAATGAAGCTTGGGCGTTCCTTTTTCAGGAAGCAGAACTTAGCCTGGTAGAGAATAGGGCTGAAAACAGCAATATTTGGAATCTCACTCATTAATATTCATCACATTCAGACATCTCACCTCTGATTGGCGAACAAAAACCTGACTCTACCACTGACTCCATTTGCTTTGCAACGTTGATGTTTTATCTCTACAAAAAACACAAGTCTGAAGGAGTTCTGCCATATTGTGGAGTTGCTAATGCTAACGGTTAACTTCTACTAGCTGAGACGTGCTCTATTCTCTCCTGGATGCAAAATCACCAACAACCTTCCCCGTCACAAACCAACATGGGTGAGTCAATGAATGCTAATTTGCAGTGTGACGTAGATCAGTGTGGCTTTTTCTGACGTGAGCAATTCCCCATCTATTTTATTTTGGCAGCCAAAGCAGAAAATGGGGTTAGGGGACTATTTTCATGTTCAGCCTCCATGTGACGCTCAGAGTGACCAATCGTATTTCATAAAGAACTATGAAAAAATGGGTTTTCAGTGAAACTGTTCTTTAAAAAAAATTGTGATTTAACTGAAGTGTGTTTGTTTTATTTATGAACAGTTTTTGGCCTTGTTGCTTGAAATGTCAGAGATTTATTTTTATTATCTTCACTCCATCATACTCCTTAACTTATCAGACTCCATCAAAGCCTAAATTCACTAAGACAGAAACATTACAACTTAAAAAGGAAAATGGTTTTAAAAGAGGAATACATTACAGGAGAATAAAAATATGGTAGCTCTGCTAATCATGAACTCATTCTTTCCACAAACAAGCTCCATCCCTTCTGGTATTCCTTAAACTTAATATCATTACTGTGACATAAACAAAATGACAACGTTTTGGACGTGATACCATATCGTCTCATTAACATATTCACAGTAACTTTCTGCCACTTACCAAGTATCTTTATACCCCTCAATCTGTCAATGGAGAGAAAAAGCATCTTTACTAACACTTGATCACAGTTATTGGACCATGATTTGGCGGCTTAATTGCCGGAAAGAAAAAAAAACCCTTCATTCTGTCTGTCCCTAAAAGTTAGAGAATTATGAGAGCAGATTGAATTATTGCAAGAGCACATTTGTCATCCCTGGTCCGGTGCCCAAAATCTGCCAGACCATATGATGGGCTTTTTTTTATTTTGTTCACTTCCTCTACAAACATAGACACAATGTCCTTCTACAGTATATGCACTTTCAATTGAAAGCAAGACCATAATGATATCGGGCTTAGAACGTCAAAAAACAGATGCAGCGTTTCTTACGTTGGAGCGCCGGCTACCAAACAACGCTGTTGGTGAAGCGGTGAAACATTTACGAGGGATCAAACGCTTCCATGTAAACATAAACCTTAAATTTCTGTTTGTTTCTGTCCCATGAAGACATTCTTACAGGCTTCAGAAAATTATCCTAAGCCGATGTACTTGAATGAGATAAAGAGGTAGTCATGTATTTTTCTGCAGATGCTCGTTTTCAGAAGGATTCTCTGCCTACCTGACAAGCAGTAATAAGCAAACACTACTAAGCCTAATAATAGGATAATACTGTAGTCTCGGTGATAGCGCCTGCAGGTAACATCCAGACACACCAGTAACAATAGAGCCTCCTCCACAGCCTGTCAAAAGTGACTCTATATCAGTGACCCCCCCGGGCAGCTTACCAACCATGACCTGTTGCCTTCTCCAGAGTTGTAATCCTCATTTGTACATGTTTGCTACCAGGCAAAGAAAGTGTGATAATGTAGTTATACTAATATCTAAGTAAAACCCGATACATTCAGAAATAACACGCTTTCAAACCGCTCACACACACACATAAACACACATGAACACACCCACAGCCTCAAAGGCACTTTAAGCTTTTAATAAAAAAATAAATTTAAAAAATGACCTCCAGCCACATTTACTATTGAATACTTCATTGGATATTTCACGAAACTTAGCATGGATGGAAGCACACTTCACGGGACGGGTTTAAATTCTCTAAAGCTAAAATTAGAACAAAAGTAAGAACGTTTCACATTCATTTCCAACTGTAACGAGAATGAGCTGGCCTATTTAAGGCGAGTGCTGAATTTCAATGATTCTGCCCGTATTTAAAGCCTGAATTTCTACCTGTAATATTTCTCGCTAGTCCAGCTGGCGTGGATGGCGAATAATACAAGAAGCTCCCATCAAGTCTGCACTTCACACATTGTGGCATGTACCCTTCCTTCTCTATTACGAGGACATTTTTTCCCCTCCATCTGTCAAAATTCACATTAATTACACACAGATATGTGCGAAAGACTCCAGGGAAAAACAGATGCATACTCTGCCATCTGAAATCATTTACCAGGGCTTGAACAAACTAAATGTATATCAAGACACAGTTTCAGAGGGCTGAGTCTCACGGAAAATAAACATTTAATCATTTCTTTTCAGTGTTAAATCAAAATGCTTTTGACTATTGCACATCACTAAAGATCCCAAATTCCACAATAAAGTATTTGTCATGTCTGTGTCTAAAATGTCTTTGAGTGAAACATTTCTAAAAGAGGTCAAAGGTCAATATAGTAGAGTGCATTTAATAGTTAAATGTCACAGTAATTAAGGTGGAAGTTAAACAGGACTTCATCGGGCCATTATGCAGCAGGGGATGTGAGGGTCTGGGGTAAAAGCTGGAGGCGGGGTGGAGATTGAGTCTTTATTCTCTTGGGATTAACCTCCCACTGCCTGCTGTGATCACAGCAAAACGGCCCACTAAGACCGCACCTCAGATGCAGGCAGCTGGAATAAACCCGGCGCTCAACTGGGAGTCTTTAGCCACCAGTCAGTCAGCATGATCGCTTCAAGGACACTCTGAAGGTGGAGCATTTTAGAGAAGAAAACGATAACTTTAAAAGAGAGGGTAACTAAGAAATGTATAATACTTGCTATTTTTTAAATGTGATAATTTCACTGAGTTTCACACACAGGTTGAATGTGGAAACTGTCTTCTACCCCTTTTTCCTGCATTAGATGCAGAGAAAAAAATAGACGGAGAAACAGTCGGGTCAGAAAAAGCCACACAGATTTACATCACTTTAGCCTCATTTAGAAAACAACGCTGCTAATGTGCCGCAAACACGAGCTAGCGTAGACGGTGCCATCAGATAAAAGAAAACTATGGACTGTTGCGCAAAGGTGTAATCTTCATTCACAAACCTGGCATTGTAGCAATATTACTACCAAGCGTGGCGGCGTGAATGTCGCAAAATTTCCGCATCACCGAGCTGCCACGGCACTTTCATTAAACACACCATGTTGACAGTTTTACGATGTCTTATGAAAGCAGCTACTGCAGATTAGCATTCATGGACTCATCCATCTTGGTTCTCAAACCAGGAAGGCTGTTGTTGGTTTAGCCTCCAGGAAAAAGCAGAGCATGTCTCAGCTAGTAGAAGCTAACCATTAGCATTAGCAACTCCCCAACACGGCAGAGCTCCTTCTGGCTTGTGTTAATTGTGGAGATAAAACATCAACGTCACAAAGCAAACAGAGGCAGCAGAAGAGTCACTTTGCTGCTAGCCAATCAAACACATCATGAATATTAATGAGTAAGAGTCCAAATTCTGCCATTTTCTGCCCCCCAACAACCCCCCCCCCCCACACACACACACACACACAGACACACACATACACACACCAAGTTAACTTAAACTTTCTGAAACAGGAGGCATTCATCTCTACTACAGACCACAGCAGATTCATTGAAATAACAAGTGCATGTCTTCTTTAACTATTTTATTTATTACATAAAACTTCAGAAATAATATTTTCTCACTTACATTAAATAGATGCAGTATTTGCCCTAATAGAAAACAATAGAAGAAAGGCTCTGAGGGTGGAAGACCACTGCATTACCTTTAAGTGAACTCTGCTGGGGATGAGAATCAGAGAGATGGCTAATTGCTGCTCTCATAGAGCTGCCTGAGCTGTCGAGCCCGGCTCTGCTAACTGATGACACTTGAGTTAGTGAGAAGGAGGGAGGATGGAGAGGCCCCTCTGTGAGTTTACAAGTTCATGCTTTATCCGTGGCCCTCTATCAAATTGTGTCATCCATGCAGCTGCCTAATAATCCTCCTATATTGCACTATCCTGTGTGTTTTTCCTGTCCTCCCGCCTCTACACATGGTGATGCATGATGGTTAATTTAATGGTCAGTCATGTTCAATGCTCAGCTCAGAGCAAAGCAATGCATTGATCCTAAATCCCTGTTTAAGTAGCAAAAATACTTGAACTGGTTGGGTAATTAACAGGTATCTGTGTGATTAAGAGACGGTCACGGCTTAACAACCATCGACTGCAGCTTAGAGCGAGGTGAAAGATCAGCCTGTAAATACAGAATAACACAACTAGATTTTCTCAGGGAAACAGCAAGCGAAGCTCATTCAGAATAAAATACAATAAACTATTAATGTAAAGGAAAATTTAAATTCAGAGGTAACTAGTGTCAAGTTATCCAATTAGGACAAAGCGACGAGTTGTTGGTTTAGTAGCTGGACAGCAGGGGGAACAGAACTAGAGCATGTGGTGGTCATGGAGGAAGTTTAACAGAGGTAAGTAACACTGTCAGGGTCAGAAGACGAGGTTCATTTTGCCGGAGAGGAGGTCAGAGGTCAGCCTGGCAGCAGTAATTGAATCCTGAGAAAAGAGTAGGAACCAGAGATGAGATGGGGAACACAGA